AGAGCTACTCTCAAGTTTCACAAGCTGAAATTGTTTCTGAGGGACATTGACATTACATTTGAGGAGTGCACCATTTGTTAACTCAATTTTTTTTCTTTGAGGCTTAGAAACAGCCTATTCCTCCATACACTCTTGCTATTCACACGTAGAACAACACAGTGACATCAATCCCAGAGCTGTCTTTAGAATAAATAAGTAAATTTAAATTGGCATTTAAACTTTTCAGGTGACAGATTAGTAGAGGAATGACTCCAGGTGCCTGCTGCTTTTGCAGGGCAATGTTTTTGAAACTAATTGGTCTGGGATTTAATGTTAAAGGACTGTCAGAAATATCTGACCTTTCATATAGATTTTTGGATTCATATTAATCTAATTTATGTCCTGAAATCTTGAGTATGTCTCTAAGGTTAATTGGCAGCGATGCTCGAATAAGGACACAGGGTAGGGTAGGTATATGGTTCTCATCCCTGTGTTTACAAAAGAGGAAGTAAAATTGAGGTCCTTCTTAACAAAGGAAGATACATTTCAGCCTCCCAAGGTGCTGAAAATGAGAGGTACTGGCAGCATCTTTGAAAACTATCTGGTCACTGAAGGATAGAAATAACCCATATTAGTTTGACCAGTGAATGTACGGGTCAGGGGATTTTCCCAGTGTCACACTGCAAGCCTGATCCATCGCTAGGGACAGAACCTGTCTCCTCTCATGCCTACTAAGGACAGCCTTGGCTGCAGCAGTGGCCACATGACTGTGGAGTTTAAGGTCCTGAGACAGCTGAGCAAGACAAGCAGCAGAATTATAAGCCTTCATAAGATCAGATTTTGGCCTGTTCAGGGACACGCTTGGCAGGAGCTCATAGGAAACTGCACCATAGGAAACCTGGCTAATCTCCTAGGATAGCCTCTTCAGACCACAAGAATGGTCCATTACAACATGTAGAAAGTCAAGCAAGGACAGCGTCAATGAACACGGAGCACCTGACAGCTCAAACACTTGAAAGGAGGTACACAGAAGGTGTTAACAGTGACAACCTCCTCAGAAGGAATACAAAGACATTCTCTGAGCATCTAGGAAGGGAGTCAGGAAAGTCAAAGCTCAGTTAGAAATGAAACTAGCAAGGGAGGTGAAGGGCAACAGGAAAAGTTCCCGTAAGTATCGCTGCAGCAAAAGGAAGGCTAAGGTGAGTGTGAGACCTAGTGACAAGGAACATGGAAAAAAGGCTGAAGTACTCAATGCCAGTTTTGTCTCAGTTTTCATTGGTAAGACTTGCCCTGAGACCTAACAGGTCCATGAGTCTTCTAGCAGAGTCTAGCAATACTCACTCTATAGGAGGATCAAGTTAAGGATTACTTAATCCGCTTGGACATATACAAGTCCATGGACCCAGGTGGGTTGCATTCAAGGGTGCAGAGGGAGCTGGCTGATGTAACTGCAAGGCCACTCTCTAACATCTTAGAAAGATCATGGCAAGTGGAAGAGGTTCCTGATGACTGGAAAAAACTAGATGTCACACTCATCTTCAAGAAAGGGGCAAGAAGGAGGATGAAGGGAATAATAGGTTCATCAGCTTCACCTCAGTCACTGGCAGGGATATGGAGCTAATCTTTTTAGAAGGAATTTCTAAACCCGTGAAGCACAAAATTGTGATTGGGAGCAGCCAGAAGGGTTTATCAAGAGTAAATTCTGTCCGACCAGCCTCATTGTTTTTTGTGATGAGGTGACCAGTGCTATGGATGGCAGGAAGGCAGTAGATGTTGTATATACCTTGACTTTAGCAGGGCCTTTGACATAGTATCTCATAGTGTCCTTATTGCAGAACTGATGAGATATGGGTTGGATAAGTACACAATAAAGTGAGTGAAAAATTGGCTGGATTTCCAGGATCAAACAGCAGCGATCAGTGGTGCAAAGTCCAGCTCATGCCCCAAAACTAGTGGCATCCCTCAGGGACCGGTATTATGACCAATACTGTTTAATGTCTTCATTAATGGCCTGGAAGATGGACCGGAGTGCACGCTCAGCAAGTTTGCAGATGACACCAATTTAGGGGGAGTAGGCAGTATGTTAGAGGGCAGATGGTTATTCAGGGAAACCTCAACAGGCTGGAGAAATGAACCAATAGGAACGTTATGAAGATCAACAAAAGCAACTGCAGTCTTGCACCTACTATGGATTAAACCCATGCGGCAGTGTAGGTTGGGGGCCACCTGTCTAGGGAGCAGCTTTGCATAAAGGCACCTGATGATCCTGATGGACAACAAGCCGAACATGACCCAGCAACAAAGCCTTACAGAAAAGAAGGCCAAGAGCATCCTGGGCTGCGTTGGCAAAAGTATAGTCAGCAGGTTTAGGGAACTGATCCTTCCTCTCTATTAAGCACTTCTGAAACTGCATCAAGAGTGCTTTCTGATTTGGGGTCCCCAATACTGGATGGATATTGACGTACTGGAGCGAGTCCCATAGCAGGGTGCCAAGATGTTCAGGGGCTCGAGCACAGGATGTATGAGGAGAACCTGAGAGATCTGGGTCTGCTCAGTTTGGAGAAGTTTCAGGGGAGACCTTATTGCTGTCTGCCCTTACCTGATCAGAGAATACAGAGAAGATAGAGCCATACTCTTCTTGGAGGTGACTGACAATAGGAAGAGAAGAAGCAGACACAAGTTGGAATATGGGAAATTCCAACCTGATATAAGGAAAAAAAAATACTATGGGGGTGACCAAATACTGGAGCAGAGAGGTGGTGGAATCTACATCCTTGAAGGTGTTCAAGACCCAGCTGGACAAAGACCTGAGCAACTTGGCCTGATTAGACCTGCTTTGAGTAGACAAGTGGACTAGATGATCTCTGGAGATCCCTTCCAATCTAAATTATTCTGATTCTACAATGATGACTAAATTATGCTGCCAACACATTATGTTCAGTAAGCTAAATGTTTAGAATTAGTTCTTTCTCCATTCTACATTTGCCGCTATATAAATCTTTGTGAGGTATATTCTCTTAAAGATTGTACTTCAGTAACTTGAATTAGCTGATCTCTGACTAAGAGATTTTAATAATTCAGCTGAAATCAAATTTGAAAAGACATCATATGAGAAGTAGGCAAACGCTAATGCAATTAAAACAGAGCTAATTGATAGATTTTCAGTGCCTTTAATTCACACATTTTTGAGCCCACTTGCAGTGGCATTTGTCTACCGCTTTTTATTTTTAGTTTCAAATAAGTTTTTGTCAAAAAAGGCTGCAAAAAGACCTATAAAAATGTTGTCTTGTACAATAATACCACGTAGTGTTGCTATGATATATGAAATTTTCTCACATTTTTCCTTCTTCTTGTCAATTCAGTATGTAAATACTAGAGTAATTTTAGCCTAAAAAAATCAGAAATGGATTATATAACAGGATATTTTTTTCATGACATTGTATACCAATCCCCTTTCAATTTTCTATTATTTCTAGCAGAATTTCTTTATGCTCCCTTTTCATTTCTTTCATTATGAGAATAGACAACAGATTCACGCTGAAGTTGAAGGTTTCTGAAGCCTTCCAAACAGTAACAACTCACTCAAATATCATCAGCTGTTTCTGTGTTGGTCAAGCTAGGCAGTCCCCTTTATGTCTGCTGCTGAACAGTAGTGAACATCTTGCGGATCTGCACAAGAAAGTTGGGGAAAAAACTCGAACTCAAGCTAAGAACCATGTAGTACATGCTCTAGAGGAGTCAAAGGGAGAACAGTACAGGAGGTTCACTGGTATGTGGGTGATGAGTCTTCAGTGTTGCTCCTGGAGATGCATACCATTTGGGACATTTGGCTAAACCAACGGCAAACGCTCAGTGTCCAAAAATGGACTCAGCACCTAGCTGGACATGTAGCAACATTCATAAAAGTTGACATCAGCCTATAGCAGGTATAAGCAAAGTTGGGATTGTATTCTTAACCCATTAGTGACCAGCAGTGGAGTAAGCTGCAAACTGATCACACCATTCCATAGCTGTGCATCAGTGAGAGTATCTTAATCTGGTGCCTTTGCTCAGCCCATACAGCATAAAAAAAAGCAGATCTAGATGTATTCTCAGTTTTTCTGAAGTTTCATAAAGTTCAAGGACACAGCACTTGATTGTTTCCTCACTTCTCTGTCTTCAGAACTTCTCCTCCCCTAAAGTCAGCAACAGATAAACTCCGCCTGGGTGGGGCAACTAGAACCAGCTGTAATCACTGATTGCAAATGTTTACATGCACTTCTGAATCATTTCCAGCAAATAAAGGTGATTAGGAGGGCCATGGTTTGGCTAAAAGTTACCATCAAAATCTGTGGTTTACGGAGAGGCTTGGGGAATCTGAGCAGTTTTTGATAGTTGTCATATCTTTGTATTTTTGCACCTCTCTGTGAAATCCTAGGAGATCTGCAATAGGGGCAAAGCACACACTTTAAGATAGTACTTCATTTTAAGTCTGGCCAGTGGAAATTTAAAGTATGAATCATTTATAGAACAGGTGTTTTTTGACAGACTCGCAAATTTTTGATTTATAGTGCCTTAATGCACACTCAGCTCACGCTCTGACTAAGTATAAAGGTATTTTGGAAATTTTAATATTAAATGTGCTATGGGCTGCCCAGTTAAACCTCATCCTGAAAAAGAGCTACTAGTTCAGATTTTGCTCCTGAAGTACAGAGTAGCTTATATTAGTAGATAGGAGGAGTGGGCAATGCCCTGCGGCATGTCAGACTACATGTATAGCACTGTTCTTGGAACCTAATAGTTTTTCTAGGGTTTGGGGAAAATGTACTTGTGGAATGAGACACTATCAATCGTATTTATATGTCTAGCTAGTGAACTGCCTAGGAGGTAGGTCTAGAGATGTGTAAAATCTCTCTTTGGAGGCACTGACTTGACTAGAAATTAGGCTGCCCACAGCTGGACTTTTGAAAAGCTCTACAACAAAAGGAGAATATGAATTTTAATCTCTATATTTTGCTTTTCTTACTATGTTTGTTATACAGGGTAGCTTTTATGTTCCTTCTGAAAACTGCATGCAGCATGCATACAAATGGCATAAGGACCTGTGTCTTCTGCTCTTGAATGCTCATAGAGGGCTTCATACGTACTGCACCCTCATAATGAAGGAGATTCCTGATTTACCACAGCTGAAGTTGGGTAAGCGAACACAAATTTTAAATTTCTGACCATTGTCCAGTGCTGCATTTCCAGTATGCGTTTTAGTACTGAAAATCTTGGGCTGTTTAGAGCTTTTAGAGGACTTTTTCTCCCTGCTTTCTGTTAACTCTTTTTTTGACATGCTGTGAAAGAGGACTGCCTGCTAAGTCTGTGTAAAACCTTCTTACCAACTGAAGGTGTCCTGGCATGCAGAGAGGTTTTAATAAATGTCCCAAAATACTTGCCTCTGGAAAATAATTGGAGTTACTTGCTTTTCAAAGACTTGAGCTTCCAGTTTGAATTCCCATGAGATAGCAAATTTTTCTCTTGAGTAAAAATTGTTTTAAACCAAACCCCAAAATCTAAAGGGTTAGTATGAGTGTTATTGAAAGATGCTCCCTCACTTATCTTTGTGAATGCATTTCTTCCTTGCCAATAGCATAATTACAGCTTTCTGTTTAAATTGATTCTGCTCTTCTTCCTAATTCAGTTGTTTAATAGATTTTCTGGAAGAAAAAAAAAAAAAGCTTCTGTTTTTGGCAGAAGTTTCTTAGGCTGGTCATGCCTTTGGGGTCCAATGTGCAAGTGCTGGCTGGCTGGATCTGTGGAACAGAGCTCTGTAATTTGTGTTTAGTCATGTTTGCAGTGACCGAGTGAGCTCCTCGGAGAAACTAGGAGCCCCCCTGATTAATTCCAGCTATCCTAGCTGTTTCTTTGAGTTCGAGGAATGTGGATCACACTTTCACATCTGCATTTGTGTGTTTGTATACCTGTATACAAGTTTTTGAAGTTATCAGTTTGTTACATTGCAGAAAGAGTTATATTGGGAGAGCTGATTGTATTGGCCAGCAGCTTTAAAAAGGGAGGAAACAGCATTTTCCTTTTTTGCTGTATAGGTACTATTTCCACTATCAAATGTAATGTATTATGCTGTACAGCCTTAGGAGATGATAGCTGCTGTTTTCCACTCCACGTACTGTTCCCTGCTGTATATTTCTTTTCTAAAGAACCTGCGACTGATGGCGTGGGAAGAGCGCATACTGTGTTACTCAACTGAGCCATGAGAAAAAAGTGCAGCATTTTTATGTGCAGCTTATGACCTGTCAGATAGAATCCAGCATGCAACAAAACTCACGCTTCAGGCGTCTTGGTTATCGGTCACGTTTTTACATGATTTGTGTCTCACCTGGACAGGCTTATAGGTTAGGCAATGGCGAGTTATGTGTAGCTGCTTGACCACAACTGGAAAACCACCCCAGATATATGCATATTGCCTTTCTGAATATAATTGACTTAGTTTTCGGAAGACTGTTGATGCTGAAGCAGGCACTTCATTTCCAAATGTACTTGTAACACATGCAGGTGTGCTAATGCAAATCCCCTTTCTAGCCACTTGTGGGAAAAACTGCTTGCATCATTTTATTCGCATACATTGTCTGAAAATCTATTAAATATTTGATTTAAGGCTAGTGCTCTAAGGCCTGATCCAAAGTCCAGGAGAGTCATGGGATATGAAATTTATTCAATATGATGACTACCAAACAAGTATTTACATCTTGATAGATACATGTTTACATCTTAGATAGTTTCCCATACTATCCCGGTGGTCGCTAGAGAGAAAGAGGCATATTTATCTGACAGGTAGTGCCACTGACCATAGGGTGATATGAATTGCACCTTAAACTGCACTTTCCTCTACTGACCAGGAGGAGAATGTAAATGACTCAATTGTAATGTAAGTGCCCAGAGAGGTAGTGGAGTCTCCTTCGCTGGAGATCTTCAAAACCCGTCTGGATGTGATCCTGGGCAATATGCTCTAGGTGACCCTGCTTGAGCAGGGAGGTTGGACTAGATGATCTCCAGAGGTCCCTTCCAACCTAAACTGTTCTGTGATTCTGTGACTCATTCAATTGTAAACATCTATACTTGATTAGATTAATCTCTTCATGGGCATCTAACGATAGCTCAAATGAATCAAACACCATAAATCCCCACTGCGAACTTTCTTTTTCTTTTCCCTAGGCCCTTGATTAGTGTATTAAAAAATTTAATAGTCCAATTGAGACATTACAAGCGGAATTGTTTACCACAGTTTACCTGTTGAGGATGAGTCTTTTCAAGGTGCTACCCATCTCAGTTTATCCTCTCACATTCCTTTGTACTGTTTAAGAAAAGTCACTCCTGGGAGGAAGGCGTTGTTCATTTATTTTGTTTTGCTGTTTTATGGGTATTAGAAAGTGCCACATTGCAAAATGCAGCTGCCAAAGTTTCAGGAGAGTTGACTTGTATCCTCCCCTGCCTCATAGTCCGTGGTGCATTTAACGTGGAGCATCCCTATACTGGATTCTGTCAGGACTATATCCAAGCAATGTTGTACGCCCTAGGAGCAGACAGATACTTCACATTGCACAGAGATGCTCAATCTAGTACCAGTCAGAGATATTTAGTATATCTTACACGGCCCTGCGTAACAGCAAAAGGAGACTCATTTATTGTGCATCGTTTGCTCAGGCTTTGAAATAGTGAGACTATACTGTATACAATTCCGGAGCTGGCTATAAATAACAACGGCTGACAGCAAACTAGTAGTAAAAAAGAGGATAGACAATAAAAATTATGATCACACATGTAACACAGGATTTATATTAGATGGCCATAGTCTAGAGCTGATCAAAGGTTTCCTGATTGCAGAGTCGGGTTCAGCCTCCTCCCTGAAGACCGCTGCAGACTCTGAGCTGGGTCAGACACAAATGCAGGGCAACACTAAGTGACAAGTGTTGCCTCTTTAATCAGATGTTTAGGTAGAAATAAATTGCAGGAAGGAGGATGTTGCTGTGGAAGTTTTTGAATTTTGCATTTTATTTCCCGGAGTAACAGTCTGTTATGAAGGAAAACATTTCTTCTGAGATGTTGAGAACTCCCAAGTGAGCTGCTTCATGTAATTGCAGTGATCAACTTCTGCCCTTGTTGTTTAAGGTTGAAAGACCAAATCCTGTCCTCTTTATCCTGGCAAGAGCCTTCCACAACTTTTATAGGTTTCAGTGTCCAAGTGACATGAGCAGAAGCTGTACTGGAAGCAGGTGAGTTGTGAAGTGCCCAAAACTGAGCAGAATCTTGTCTGTCAGGAAGTAATGTTAAATGACCTGTTTCTCGCTGGAGGAACAGCAGAGCACTAACGATTCACACCTATAGTTCTCAAGCCTGATCTCTTTCTTTCGTCGTCTTTTATTTATTTATTTTATTTTATTTTCCATAGAGGAGCTATCCGTGGAAGAGACGTTATCTCAACTTTGTACGGAGCTTCAGGTATTTCAACAGTATCAGTTCATACGTGTAATTTTCAAGGGCGCTGGCACAGCCCCGCCGTGTGTCAGAGCCGGGGGGAATTCAGGGCCAGCAGAAAGTTTGCTGAATCTTTCTTTTCATTTTGATTACTCACTTACATGATGCTTCTGCCATTTTTAACAAATCACTAGCTGTAATGCTTTAACATCCTTCAGTGAGCCTAGCCCTGAGTATTAGAGTATGCAGAAAAAAATGATTTGGGGGTAGGTCGAAATTACAGTTCTTTTGCTGACAGGAGAAAAGACCCTTTGGCAGGTTGTACAGCCATATCTTTTCAAATAAAATTGCCTAAGTGTGGAGGAGGGATCTGGGAGGAGACAACCAATTTTGGCAAAGCAATGACTGAATTATTATCTTGCACTTGCTTCTGCCATCCTCGTTTCAAGTGAGATGCAGGGAAGCTGTCAAGGGTGTCAGGAAGAAACGTGAGCATCATTTGAACACTGGGCAAAATGTTTTATCATCAGAGATTTAATAAATTTGATTTGTTCAGTTTATCAGCAAGAATACAGAGAGGGGACTTGATTATCATATGCAGGTATCTTCACGTGAAGAAGATTCTTCAGCATAGAGAACAATGATCAAATAGCAATAAATGGCTAGAAGATGAAGCTAAACCACATTGGAAGTAAATTTAAGCTGCAGTTTTGAATGGTTGTCGCCTATGGGTGAAAAATGCTTGAGAAGTGGTGAATTTCTTAATTTTAAGTCACAACTTGGATACCTCGCAAGGAATTAGATTTTAGCCAATTTTAATTACCGAAACATAAATCTGCTCTGCCAGATAGCTAAAATAAAGAAGCCTTAAAGACACAGGAGGTCAGACAACATGATCTAGAATCTCCTGAAGACTTTTCTCTATGAATCTAGAAAAGTTCAACTGGGCTTGGCAAACATCAGAACATGTCAGCGCTAATTTCTCCATGTTTCTCAATTCTTGTCCAGTTCCTATTCTCAACAAAACAACAAACCAACACAAACATTATTGATTTGTTTTGCCTGCCAATATTAGAAAGGCCAGACAACCCTGACTCTTGTTTGAAAGGTCCCGCTCACAGGAACAGCGCAGCAGCAAGGAGGTGAATACAACAGCTTGAAAGGCTGCTTCTCTCAGGTGTTATGAACACTTAGCTATGATTTTCCTGTATGCCATCAAAACGTTTGGCATTATCATCCTGGGCTCATAATTGCCTACCTATCTAGGCCTAATGTGATGATGAAGAATTTGCAGAGATGCTAAGGACATGAATGCTGATATCTAGTAGAGGATTGGTGCAGTATAGGTGCAGTATTGGCCATCACTGCAGTGTAAGTGCTGAAGTCTTAGCCACCTGTGTACGGGGTACGAATGAGTACTGGCAATGCTCTCCCAGTATTTTGCCTCCAGGAAAATGTGAACTGAAACGATTTCTTTTCAGCAGAATGTAGGAAAAATGGTCATTTGCAAAGGAAGAAAATGTTATTAGAACCACGGAGAAAGAAGCCTGTGAGGTTAGCTTCCAATTACCGCTGTATTACAGAAGTCAGGTTCAATTTCAAAAATAAATAAAACAAAAGAAGAAAAGAAAATGAGTTTTACCCCGTCATACTTTGGCATTCAACCCAAGGACACGGCGGAAATTCAAACTAGGAGAAAATGGAAGGACGATATTTTTTAAATCGTCTGATTGATTTGTAAACAAACAAGCAAAAATAACCTCTCCAAAGCACCTCTTGATTTGTTTTGCGTGACAGCATTGTTAAAGCCAGACTACCCTGACTGATGTTTGAAAGGTCTAGTCACAGGGAGCAGCGTGGCGGCAGGTTTGTGAGTAGAATAGCTAGGATCATGCTTTGTGACCATTTTAATCACCCTGTGCTGCGCTTCATTTTCCCTTTTCCCGAGGTTAAGAGCTAATAAACCAGAAAAATAGCCATCATACTCCTAGTATGGTTTGCATTCATAAAATATCTTCTCCTTTGAAGATTTTAAAATAAAAAAAAATATGCATTACATGGAACACATAACATAGAGTCCATTAAACACAGTAGGGCCCTGATTCTGCCAAGAGAAGTATTTGGGCAGAACCCCCTGTCTACCAGAGTCTCTCTGATTTCTCCAGTACCAGAATGGGTACTGGAGCTTGTGGCATCTCGGGCAAATCGTTGAATCAGAGTAGCACACAGACAGTGTGAACTCAGTGAGAATATCTGTGGTTATTATACATGCGTATTTTCTCTATTTGTCTCTCTCTTACACAGACCATTTGCTTTTAATCATGACTTAGTTTGCAGTGTCACCAATCTGGAAATTACCTGCATAATAAACTGTGCTATAGCAGCTTTTGCTATTAAGCAGGCCTTCAGCATTTTCTGCAGTTCTAGCCAAAAAGACACCTGGCCCTGAAGGAACTGATAAGTGATTCCCTGTGGCATTATTTCTGGATTATTTCTGGTAGCAGTACCTATTTCATCAAAGCAGGTAGAGTCCCTAGGAATAGATAAAAGTTGCAGTTTTGTGTTCTTTATGCCAAACCAATGGACGTAAAACGCAATGTCTATCTGCTGCTGTTCAAGAAATTGTCAAACCAAGGAGGTCGGTATGCAGGGACTTTGCTGCTGGCCTGCACTTCCCGTGCTGCAGGTCTCCAGCAGTGCAGAATTACTGCCATGAGCCACAGGGCACGGAGGGCCACAGCCCATCCGAGCATAGGACGGAAGCAACAGTGGACTCTAGGAGGTTTGTTTTCATCATATTTTGAGGATATAGGATTTTTATTTTTATTTCCAAAATCACCCATGTGGTATCCTGGGAAGGCTGTTTTCCTACTTAGAAAGGAGATGATGGGTGATGGTTTATTATTTCAGAGTATCCGGCACCATCTGGTGGATAGTTTAGAATCAGCTTTCATGGATTTTTCCCTATTTACTTCCTTTGCAACGAAACATTTCGGCAAAGATTGAGGCTATTCCTGCTTCCTGCTCTCCTGCTGTGTAGCTAAGACCCTTTGCACTAAAATACATGGCCTCTAAAAGCCAAAAGTGAAAGGTTCACCTGCTTGATTTGGGGTAAAACAACTGAAAATAGTAGTTTTAAGAATAAAAGGCAATATTTTTTTTCCCTAGAACAACTTAATCCAAAATGCTGATTTTCTTTCATGATCGTTCTTGATCTCAGAACATCCTTTCTCCTCTCCAGCTACTGAGCAATCCAGAGAAGATAGCAGAACAGATAAGCAAGGACCTTGCCTGGCTTTGCTCCCACCTCTTGGCCCTGTGGACCCAGTTCCTGGAAGTGGCAACGCTCCATCCGGAAGTCACAGCTTATCTGACTCAGGAACATCACATGCTAAGGGTAATGTTAAGAAGTTAAGAGTAAGTTCAGTAATGGTAACCTCCTGATAGAGAGACATCAATGATATACCTGGATAAATATTTCTCAAACTACTGTGACTATATGAATATATTCAGGAGATGGGGTGAGTAGAACAAAGAGTGAAGACGAGGTGAACGAAAAATTACATTTTCTGGCAAGTAAAATATTTTTCTTCAAAACTAAGGGAGTGGACTGGTGAGCATTATGTCATTTTATTGCCTAACAAGGAACACAAGTATCATAAAACAACTTGGGGGGAGGAGAAGCACTGCAGTGGTCTTTTATGGGGATGGGATAAAAGTGAATCCTGTGTAATGTCAGGATAGCTCTGTACTAGTTTGCTAATTCTCAAAGCCTTCTGCTACCTCGAAGCACAGGGCAGATTTTCAGACCTAACAAAATAACATTTTCGAAGAAAGTTTTCAGATCATCAGTATCTATTCAAGAACCGGGAATCAGCAGCCACCCAGTCGCATACCTCCACTTTCATGGTAGGGTTTTCCCAACAGATTGCCTTGCTCCCTCCCAAAAGATGCTTCCTGGAGCCAGGACTGCATGGCTATGGGAAATCCATTTTCAAGATCCCCAAAAATCCAGGATTACTTTACAACCGCTTCTCAACAGCATAAACAACCTTTTGTGATGGTGGTTGATAACAGTAATCCTTTAAGAAGTTTATAAAAAGCACATTTGTTTCAAAGGACAGAGGTATCATAATGATAAATGGCCAAAAAAAAAGAAAAAAAATAACAAGAATTTCCTCACTCAGCCCTTTTAACAAAACTGTACAGGAATATAGATTTGTTCTCTTCACTGTGTCACATGCAGTTAGTACTTTCCCTTCCCCTAGTAACCTGCATACAAAGAAATGTTAACATTGTTCATTAATTTTGCTCTTGTGCTTGATAATAAAGAAGGCACAAATGATCTTATATTTAAAGCTAATTGTGTCAGACTCACTTACCTGATTAGCTCACCAAGTGCTGTGCCTTCCATTAGGACTTTTTCTGTTATCGATCGCTATGTGGGCAGTTGTGTAGCAGACAAGATATTGCTTTCGTCACATCAGGCTGAGCTGAGGTCATAGCCTGATTTAATCATTAGAGCAGGGACTTAGAAAGAAAAGGATAGGATTCATCTTACTCAGCTTTAGGAACCTACTGTGTGTGTATCTACATCTCAGCTTACTCTCCGGTTCCTATTAAAGTCAATGGAGGTCCCAGTAACTGGAGACGAGAGCACGGTTCGTCTCACTAAAGGGAGGCCTCCATTTCAGGAGGAGATGACTAATGTTCAGACTCCCCTGCTTCTTTTGACTAGGTCTCCCTCAACTTTCAGAGGAACCTGGGGTGGCTTGTCCAGCTGAAGGGCCCTGTAGACATCCAGCTTCAGCAAGATGAATTCCAGCTCGCGGTGCTAGCCCTGACTGATGCCGACTGCCAGCATGACCTTTGGCAAATTACTTCCCTTCGTGTGCTTCAGTTCCTTCCCATATAAGCTCCTTGTAATGATACTTTGCAAGCTGTGGAAACCAGTCTGAGAGCCTCAGATGAAAAGTCATGTTATCAAGAAATAACTTTTTTTAAGGGATGGTAGTCCTTCTTTTTTTTAGAAAGGCTATTTGCTGAAGCACAGCCGGGATTTAGGGAAACGCTGAAATGCTGTGATGTAGGCTTTTTGCTGCCATTCTCTGACACTGGAATAGAGGTCGCTTTTACAAATATTATTAGTAATGTATGGGCTGCAGTTTAACAGCTTAGTACATTTGATTGCATATTATGATTGATTGATTGAATCCCAAAGCTTATTCCAGGGCAGATAGCAGTACTGAATATTTTATAGCTTATTTCACACTCTGTGCTCTGCCAGCCACTTCAGATCTGTGGCTCTTTTGTAATTGATTATCTAACTCTGAACAGCTCTAAAGTCCATGAAGAGATCTGGAGAGCTCTCATTTGTAAGCATCATGACACAGGCAGATGTGTTTCTACCATGATAGGGCTTACTCTCCTCTGGGCTGATGTGTTAAACTTTTATTCCTTTGGGAGCTACTGTGGATGTTGCCAGAGAAGAGACAATCAGTTATGAATTGTTTTAATTTAGTAACTCACTCTGCTGCTGCTATGATTTGCACAGTGGGAAAAGAAGACGTCTTCCCCAGTTTACAGGGGAAAATGGTAAATTTGGTAGCTTTAAAAAAAATACTCAGAATACGCACAAGAGGAAATCCTGATTTTTCTGTCAAGGGACACTTCTTTCCTCCCAGCAAACTATGCAACAGCACCAGCTGCTTCGTGCTGGAGTGGGGAAGTGAAGCAGAATTGGGCTCTCTGCTTCTTTCTGTCACCAAAATGGTACAAAACAGATGGAGCATACTAAGGAACCTGCACTGGTCTGTGATTAGCTTGATTGTCCTTTGGCTTTTCAGCAGATCCGATTTTTAATATGTGCGTTTCCCACTCAGGTAAGAAGATTCTCAGAAGCCTTCTTCTACACTGAGCACCAGAAACTCGCTGTGCTCACATTTCAGGAAGGCCTGTAAGTAATTTATTGAACCTTCCCTGTCACTGGAGTAGCTGAAAATGTTGTTTCTTAAAACATTTTGTGGTTCAGGATCGTTGCTGCTGGAAAAGGAGAGGTGGTTGGTTTGAGAGAAGTTGCTGGGTCTAGCCTGAGCTGTTGAAATGAGTGTCAAAAGCGGCACAGTAAGTGACTCCACTCAGGCCCCAGACAATATTAATTTCAAGATACCTATGAGATGTTTCTTCCTCTTACTCTCTCTCACATACAAGTGACTCATTAGGGAGATTGTGGCTAAAATGCCACATAAGAGCTTTCTAGGGAAAAGGTACAGGACATCTTCTTTCCCCACCTCTCTGCTCGTTTCCAGTTGGGTACATTTTTCTTCAAAGCTTTATGTCCCCCAACAACACTAGTGTTAGGGCAAGCAGAAGTATTTTTTTACTGTCTTCCTTCAATTAACTTTCCCAGGCCCTCACACCAGATCCATTTTTCCAATTTCAATAGGAAGCTTAATATTTAGTACTTTGTTTTTTACTGTCCCTACTATTTTTTTATGGGTAGGTAATCATGGCTGTATTTTGTGCTTTAGTACAGACCTACTTTACATATCAGAAAAGATCTCTAAATTCAGACAGGAGTCTCGATTCATTAACTGATAGCCAGTGCAAAACTGAATACTGACTGGATCCTGCAGCTCAGGGTTGGAAGAGGGACACCACCGCGTTAGCTGGAGGAAAAACAGGAGTGATGTGAACTCGGAGCTGATAACTAATTGCTTAAGAATCAACAGTGCAAAGCAGTCTGGGAAAATAAATGTTGCACTAGGCTGCGTTCATTAAAGTATGCCATGAAACATGTACAGCATTAAGTATTTCCTGCTGCTTGACGCTGCTTGCCTAAAGCCCAGCTGGAGAGTACAAGGCTGCAATTTTAAAGTTACTTTAGGGTAAGTTCTGCCTTCAGTTTTAGCCAAGCAACCTGATGATCACAAGCAGAGTGCATGGATCAGCTTGTATTTAAGGCCTGGCCCCTGAAGGCAGAGTTCAAGGAAAGCTGCTCAGATTTGAATTTCTAAGTAATGAGTGAGGTCCTGCAATATTTCTGCAGTGAAACAGCTTGTCACCACAGGGGGCCACAGAGTTATCAGTGTAGAAACCCATCTTTCAGAAATGGCTTCAAGGGCATGATATCAGGTCCTGTCATGATGAAGGGGCTTAAACGTGGCATCTGCTTCTGATCAGCAGAAAGGAAGAGGACGCCTTTCTCAGAGCTGTCATTAGTGACATCGGGGACAATTCAGTGCTGGTGGAGAGAGCCGTGACTTCGTTAGTGGATGGATTATACAGGGCTAGCTGGTTCTGCTACATTAAAGAAGCACTGTGGCTGCAGGGTCACAGCTGTGCTCACTTAGTCCTCCTGCATCAGGTTTTAAGGAAAGCTCCATGTCAGCATCCCCGGGTGACGGTACTGGCACTAACACAACCCTGCGCAGGAGGAAGCCTTATTGCATGAAGTGCCTTAATTTCTCCAGACACCCACAAAATTAGCCCACTTCCTGTAGACGAGAACTAATTTTTCCCCACTGATTTTCAGGGGAGGTTGAATACACAAAGAAAATAGCTTGCAAAACACTAAAAGTTGGTCTATATTGTAAATTTGGCCTATGCAGGCCAGAGTCCTCCTTTCCATTAGGTTGTGCTACACTGTACAGTTAGGAAAGTAAATGCTTGGAGTATTTATCTGGTTCATAGAGGCTCCAGCTGAGACTGTCTATCACTGTGCAAGGTGCTGTACAAACACATCAGATGATGACCTTTTTTCCCCACAGTTGTTTTTCCCTTGTTACCGGATGAGAAGTTTTTTTTTCTCTTCTGGTACTGTTGTTGTAAATTATGTTGTGAATTTTGATATGGTATGTTAGGCAATCCCCCTACACGCATGACAGCACATGACTGCTCAATGGAGCAGTGCATTACCATTCTGAACATGACGGATATCCCACGTGCCACAGGCTGGGAGCCTCTAGTAGGTAACACATCCTCCCTACCTTTTACAGCAAAAAATATTTTTTAAATAAAGTAAATTTTAACCAGTGATTGGTCCCAAAACAAAGTCTAATTTAGTTTATTGTTTTCTACATGTGGTCTATAGTGAAATGTTGATGCCATTAATGTTGGTGAGAACTTTATTAGAGAGCTAGGACTTAACTCTAAATACCCAGGCAAGACTAAGTACTTGGCTATTTTGTGAATCTTGTCCAAGTCATGGTTTAGCAATCTATGGCTTCCTTAACTTTGAGGGGGGAAAAAAAAAAAAAAACCCACCAACCTACAGGTAAGAAAAAATGGTAGATAGCAACAGTTCTGTGCTGAAGCTGAATCTGATCTGCTGGTCTGAACAAGTTGTTTGTATCTGGACATAGTAATCTTCCATATTGACATGAGAACAGTCCATGCTGTTTGAGATTTGCTGTGTAATTTATGAAATGTGTTGCTTCCAGTTATCATATGGCAACTGCTTGCCTCCCACCAACAGCAATCCGAAATATTGCTGTTGTGTCGTCCTATGGCATGTGTCCAGAATTGCTTCCAGCTGATAGTCTATGAAAAGTATGTTACCTTCCTCTTTATTCCTTAGGATACACAGACGAATTCATCAAAGACTAGCATAAATAAACAAACTTTCTATTTGAAATATGTTTTTCCTCATTTTTGAGGAAGATGCTTGCATAAGAATGTTCATCAGAACTAAGAATTACTGTATTTATTATAGCTAAAAACCCACAACTGTGTGGCAATTTAATCTAGCATCCCATAAACGAAGCTATGTAGCATTTGACATGGGTCAAAAGCATGCAAATGGACAGTTATTCTAGTTCTGACAATATGCGGTAGCTGGACCGATGAGTCTTAGGTCTTCTAGATGCATACCTGCGTGAGACATCTGCAGTGTTCTCCGGATCAATAGAAATGACATAGTTTGCCATTCAGCCTTCTTGGCCTCGCTGCGCACTGTACTCTGTACACTGTTCAAATAGATTTTTGGTTACTGCTTCGTGCATCTGAGTTTTTGAAACCCTTGCCACTGTCAGGGTGTCAGACCTCTCCTCCTGCAGGGATAGCCTGCTGAGGCATCCAGTCTCAGCCCGTCGTGGTGATCTGTGGGAGGACAGCAACGAGTTACGGTGGCTAACAGGAGCCTGCGGCAGGGCCAGCAGTAGTAATTTCTGAAAAAAGAGATAAGCTTTGCAGTAAGCAGTATGCCAGCTGTTGGCACCTCTAACTGAGGGGCAGAAATCAACTCACGGGACACCTCTCTGGAGTGCTGGGTACCCCCTTACCGTAGAATACTGCCTCTTCGCCTTCCAAGTTGTAGTCATGACAGAAAGAGGGGACAAAATATTGAGTGTGTATCTGCCTTCGTAGGACAAAGCCCTCTGATGTTGCTCATGGCCTCAGAAATTCAAGAGGTTAAAACTGAATTCTGACTGACAGTTTCACAGAATCATAGAATAAAGTAGGTTGGAACCATGGCAGGTTATCTGGACCAAACCCCAGACCAAACGTAGATTAGGTAGCTCAGGGCCTTGTCTGTCAAGTCTGAGGATATCCAAGGATGGTGATTTCACAATATTCCAGTGACTTACTATCCTCATGGTGATTTTTTTTTCCTAATGTCTAACTGGAATTTCCATTGATGCAGCTTGTATCAATTGCCTCTTTTGCTATCACTCCATATCTACCAGAAGGGTCTGACTCCATGATCTCTATACCCTCCCACTGGGGAGCTCCTGCAATACTTCTCTATACCTACTTTTCTCCCAGCCTGCACTGCTGCATGGGATTATTCCATCCTCGGTGCATGAGCTGACATTTTCCTTTATTGAACTTAATGAGGTTCCAGTATGCCTATTTCTTCAGCCTCTCCCTGAAGAGCAGCCCTGTCCTCTAGCATATCAACCTTCCCTCCCCAAGTTTGGTACTATCTGCAAACTTGCCAAGAGTGTGCTCCATCCTATCACTGAGGTCATTAATGCAGATGTTAAATGGTATTGCCCCAATATCAAGTGATGGGCACCACTGCTAACTAGCTGCCACTCTGAGTTTGCTGCCTGGCTTGCAGGACTGACTGACTGAGAAACAGCACAGTAATTATTCTGATGCTCAATTGCTTTTGTACTACGTTGCCAGGATCCAAAGTCATGGGCAGATTTCTACAGAAATTCGGAGTTCGGAGTACTTCACCAGCATGCCCCCTCTGCCAGCAGAATGCCTCGACATAGACGGGGACTGGAACACACTCCCAGTTATATTTGAAGACAGGTACATGGATTTGCCCTGCAAAGGTGAGTGAAACACCTCAAAGTATAGTTTGATGAGGCAGCTTGAGCTGAGGGAGGTTCCACTTCCTCTTCCCTTCATGAGCTATCACTTACCTTAGACTGGCTCTGGCACTCATCTGATTGCTTGCTATTCTGATGCAAATCACTAACACTGCTGAAAACTAACTGCTTCCCCCCCCCCCCCCCAAAGTTTTTTTTTGTCCTGCCTGGGGGATGGACGGGAAGGGAGATGGAGAAATGGGAAGGGGAGTAAGATGTTCTCCTTCAGCAGGTACAAGCCACCCGTTTGGCTTATAAGGTGGCATTGTGCCCTCAGGTCTGCGCTCACGATGTCTCCCAGGTCTTGCACCAGCATAGGTCCTTGCAGCAGACCGCAGAAGAAATCCATAAGGCCAGGTGCCCTCCTGAGCCCTGATACAAAAGCACAGAGCAGCCACAGAGCTGCACAGCCGCAGTCACACGGAGCGATATGGAAGAACAGCCCTGATGTTGCTCTCTATCAGGTCACACAGTGGCAGCCAGCTGTGTCTGAAGTCACATGGAGAGGGCAGCTGGGACTGTGGTGTAGGGGCCAAGAAGCTGGAGAGATGCCTAAATGCTCCATCGGCAATAAACAGGACTGTGCGTTTTCACCCAGACTTCCAGCTACAGAAAGTGAAATAGGACATAGGATCTAATTGGGAAGGAGAGGGAAGAAGCAAAAGTCCCAAGAAATAAATCTGCTCCTGTTGTAGGAGGTGGTGAGGCGGCATAAAATTGAGGCTGTCTTTGTCACTGGTGATGAAGAAAGATCTGCGTGAGTTTCTCTTTAGTGTTACAGATTAGTCCTCTGGATTTTAACACAGCATGAGCACTACTTAATATAGCTAAATTCCTGTTTTCCCTAGCAGCAAACTATGCAGTATTTCTTGTAATTTAATATTTTTTATCTTCGGAGAAAGCAGATTAATTACAAGAGCTGGAGGTAAAATCTAGAAAGGAAAGAAAATCTTTCGGGTTTTTGTTATATTATAAATTTAAAGGAAAAACGGCACAAAGAATTTCATCCCTCGTGTGACATCTAGTGGTAGGAGAACTCGGAACAAAACGTCTCACTCAAATAATTTAAGCATAAAGCCCAACGCTGTCCTTAAAAGTCAGCATTGCTTTTCCAAAAAATACTCAGATTAAATTTTTAGTTAAGAATTAATTTAGTTCCACAAAGTCATGGTAAAATTTCACAGTCCTTGGTTCCATTTACTTTTTAACCAACCATAAGGTTAGCAAGGAAGCAATATGTGTTAATATAACGGGTGATCGTAGTCCAGCAAATATGGCCAGAGGTCCAAAATTTCCACTCTTTTAGCGTTATCACACTGCCTAATTTTGACACTGCTCATTACAGATATTTTAACTATTAAATTGACTCACAAGCAAGATCCGTACAATGTGTTATGTTCGATGACAGCAGGAGTGCAGAGAGTGTTATCTCAGACTGGCCTACTTTTGCTGCAGAAACTAGCAGTGTAGATACAATTATACTAGCAAAAGTATATTTTACTGATATTGTCTCTTTTTGCCTAAGCACAACTGTTTAGTGGGTGTTATTCTAGTTAAAAACAACTATGTACACCGTAGCATTGGCATTTGCTATATATATCTAAAATACAGGTAATTTATATAGTATAAATATGTATAACTTTTTAGGCCTTACTCATTTCCCAGAGTCCCACATCGTGTTGGGGTAATTTGTTATATTCTTGCAGGTATCACTTCTTTTTTCTTTCTTTCAGATCAGAATTTGGATGTTTTCCCAGATTTTGAGGTTCCTGCGAGTACCCAAATGGATGCAATAGGCAACAAGGAAGATTTTACATCACATGATGCCACTGCAATACTGAAAGGAGACTTTGGGAAAGGTACCCTGCTAATTCACACAGATAGAATAAATGGGAATCCCTCCTGCATATACAGTGGTACTGAAGGTGCTGCTTATGCAGCTAAAGGTTTAAACCAGCACTCCACATCTCAGGTATGTACAGTGAACAAAGAAGGCCAAAGGAAACCTGAAAATATTTTTCTTTCAAGTAAAGAAACTGCTTCTAATGCAGAACCAGGCAATACAGAATGCACATCAGAGGACTTTAAAACATCTGAGGATGTGTCATTAAAAGACAATAGACTTGCACCAGATGTTACCTATGGAGATATGAAACCTAGCAATAAGGATTCCCGCAAAAGTGAACCCGTGTTAATTGTTAGTGCTCAGGATGACTGCGGAGCATGTGGAACTGATGGCTTGGAAGACGGGACTGAATTACATAAAACAGCTGAATCTAGTCATCCCGCAAATAATTTCACTTCATCCGAACTTGCACTAAACGAACTAACCAGTCTTGAAAAACCAGTAGATCCAGACGCCAAGGCTCTATTACCTGTTTTGAAAGCTTTGCCCACCCACAGCTTTGAAGTGAAATTGTTGGCAAAGGAACAACGAGCTGAAGACTGTGACGAATTTACCCTGATGTCAGGTGTTATAAAGAGATCCTCATCAATAATATCTGATTCGGGCATTGAAAGCGAACCAAGCTCGGTAGCGTGGTCTGATGCACGTAGCCGGGCTCTGGAGCTGCCCAGCGATCGAGAGATCCTGTACCACTTGGTACGGAGACATGCCATTCACCGAAATTCCCTGGAGGGCGGCCACACAGAAAGCAATACTAGCTTGCCCAGTGGGATCCAAGCATCACTCACGTCCATTAGCTCTTTGCCCTTTGAGGAAGAGGAGAGGGAGGTAGAGCTCACCAAACTGACCAAATCTGTTTCAGCTCCTCAGATCAGTAGCCCAGAAGAGCCTGTGGAGGAGATGGATATATCCAAACACAGTGAAGCACCCCCAGGAGCTTCAGGAGGAAACTTAAAAAGTTACATGGAAACTGAGAGTGGAGACAGACCATTAATTGTGAACTTTTCTGGATGTCAGATTGCCACTGAAAGTGGTCGACTAGAACCAGAAGGACATCCCAAACCCTCTGCCAAACACGATAGCAGTAACACTGAGTTACAAGGGGAAGAGGAGAAGGAAGGTTTTTCAGAGAGGTACTGTAGTTTGGAAAGAGCAAAAACACCTGTAACTCAAAAGCAGCTCAGAGATAATGTCTGTGAATGCCAACCAGTAGAGAGCAATGATGAGTGCAGCTTAACACCAAGTGCTTGTAGTTACTTGGACGTGAATATAGATAAGCTTGATATATGCATTGAGGATCCAAAGGATAAACCTAAGCCAGACAGTTTAAAAATACAGCAAGACTTTTATTCCGGTATTAGAATATCAGGAGAGGAGAATTTCTCACACGGCATGAAGCTGGTGCCGGATTTTTGCTATCCTGTTCCAGCTCCCTTGGAGACCTCCACTGAGTTTGGCTCAATGCGTGGAGAGCGTGGTCACTCTGCTGCTGATGAAAGCCTGGCAGTATGTACAGAAATGCAGGGCTTACAAGAAATTGAGCTCAACGATTCACCCGCCTCAGCGCAGCCTGCTGCGGAATCCTTCCAAGCTGAACTTCCTCAGGAACCCGACAACCGAGAGCATAAACTTGTAGCTAATGGCACTGGGTTTCATTCGGTGACGTCGGAAGGGGTAGCGCTGGAAAGCAGAAAGGCTGTTGATGTGGTTAACCTGTCTGTCTCTTGCACTGCCACGTGTCTTCCCTTTTCTTCCGTGCTCAAGGAGACCCCCGCTATGGTCGGCTTCTCTTCAAAGCAGGCGGCGTTTCCCATTACGCGCCAGCCTCTAGGCTCTTTTGGAGTTGTCTCTTCTAGTTCCAACGAGATGGATGAAGAGGCCAATGAAAGGATGCTGAAGTAAGAATGTCTAATTAATTTCTTCATTACTGTTATCACAATGCTAAGAGACCCTGACAAAGTTCCGAGCCCTCATGCACTAAGCATAGTGTGTGCGTGCATTCAGAGGCAGTTGCCGCTGGAGAAGTTAGACTAAAATAATACAACTCGACAAATGGTTTTATTCAGAATAAATAATCTAAGTAGACAGCAAGGACTTAAACACAGAGATTTTCAAAGGTATTAGGTTCTTAAACCTCATAGAAATCCGTGGGCGTTAGGCGTCTAAATACTCTTACGGATCTGGCCCTCCACCATGAAGCCAAGGTTACCCAGAGCTGGGTATGGATCCCAGATAGCTGGTTCATCATTGCAGAACCATAGCATGTCTTTCTTTTCTGCTTAAATAATTGTACTTATTAGATAAACTGGGAAAAAAGAGCATAGATAGGCTGGCAGGGCCTTGGCTTCGGTTTCTGAAACTGGAAAAGGGGAGAATTAGCTTTCTGGGTAGCTGGGGAAGAGGCATTATTTTATTTCTTGCTCCATTTCCCACAGCAAAAGTGGCCATTGTGGCCTTTATTTCTTAACTGACCACCCAGTTCATGGATTGACATGCTAGCACATTTGATGTTGGTGTCTTTGCTGAGCTGAGGGAAGATGGTAGCACAGGAAGTTGTCAACCCATTCATCTGCATAAAATGTTGGTTGAATATGTGTTTGTTTGAGACCTAAGGCTTTGTTCATTTATTTTTTTAAACAACTTAAGTTTCATTTTATAGTTCCTGCTGTAAGCCCTGCTTAAATAGCATATTTAAAAGTAAGCACAACATTTATTCCTTCTCTGTGAAGCAGAAAATTTAAGCATACATTTGTGCAAGCTGCTGAATCCAGGGCCTTCAGTTCCATAGCTAGACCCTTAGATTTTTGGCTCTCGGGTCCCTTTAATGTAAGTAATTGTTCACCATCGTATCAAGTGGCCCTGGGCTATCCTCAAGCTTTCATGTTAATAGCTCCTAACCTGATTCATCCTAGTTTACCGCAAAAGTCTAAACGTATGCTCTAACTCTTAAGTTACAAGGGCTCTGCCTAAGTTTTGCTAAGCAAAGAAAGCGGCTGAAAGTGGCACCATTGGATAGCAGAGCGCTTCGGGGTGAATTTGTGTGTCAAATTTTAGGCCTGCAGCAGCATACGGTTTAGCCTAATTCTTTCTTTCAGGACTGAGCTGCTCTTCCTCTAAGCTACTAAATATTAGCAAACAAAACAAAACAAAACAAAAAATCTACAGTCTCTGTAATAAGCTTCAGTTTTTCACATCCTAACTCCATGGTCTGAGGAATGGGGAGAACACCTTCCACCCTCTACATATGCATCTGATGCTATCATTTTGCTTTTCAATGTGGATTTGGCTGATGACATTTTTAAGATGCAATATTTGCCAGCTCTGCATCCTCTTCTCATTGTTTCAGCCTCCAGAAAATTATTGTTGGGAAATCCTTTGTATGTCTGACACTTGTGAGGTGCTAATGGGGTTTAGCTATTCCTCATATGTAAACAAGCCATTCTGGAGCAGATTTTCTTCCCTGCACCCTGATTTCTTTGTGTCAGAACTGACAGGGAATAGCATCCAGGCCTGTACCTTTAGAGTTGTAGGTTCTCCTCACTTCTTGTTGAAAGGTTTGTTGTTGGACACCCAGTTCTACTGTGATTAATTAATGTATTCTCCAGTTTTTATCAGGCCAAAGAAAAATTTAAAAAAGAAATGAAGATTGAAGGATTTCTGTACAGTGACTTATCTGTACTAGCTTCTGATATCCCGTATTTTCCACCAGAGGAAGAGGAAGAAAATTTGGAAGATGGAATTCACCTGGTTGTCTGTGTCCATGGATTGGATGGTAAGACCAGGCAGAATTGCTATGCATAATAGTCATTTTGGTAAAGACAGAAAAAAGAAAAAAAAAAAAGAAAAAGCAGATCTTCAGCAAGTATGAAAGAACAGAGATCAACAGAAAGCATTTACCTTAGCTAAGCGTTTAGTCTTGTATATGTTATTCAGTCCACTGTAATAAAGGATCTGTGTGAATATTAAGTATTTGCTCTAAGAAATGGTGCTGCACATTTTTGTTGGTTTGTTTAAACAGAATTCTACAGCAAAGTACATCAATCTTTACCTGCACAGTTAGAGTACATTACAATAACTCCTCTTACCATTCTGCAGATGTTTGCTGTTTAGCAGTATGTTATCAAGGTGAAAACATGATAAAAAAAATACTACTATAGGGTAGAAAGTGATTGGCTTTAGAAAGTAGGAGAATAAGTATCATTATTCACTGTAGAGGTAGTATGGTCTGGAATTTTTAAAAGATATGCTTTCTAAGCAGAAAGCGGATATATTAAAGTTGAAACATCTCTTGAAAAGGTATTGTTTTTAATGGGAAAGGAGGAGGCTTTAACTTTGAGGCTACAGAGAAGGAGCAACAGAGACTCCAAAACGGCCTCATAAAGGGGAAGAAACAAACACTCCCTGGCTTGAGCAAGGACTTGAACTTTGCCATTCAATATCCAGCTGGCGGTAAGGTCCTCCTCAGGAGGTGGAGGTGTCGTCGTCTTCAACAAAATGAACAAAATGTTTCAGAAGACCTTGGAATTTACCTGATAAGGACAGACTCCAGCCTTTTAGGGGCTGCTGGTCTTACCTCGGCTTTCTGATGAACAGGAGACAGTTATTCTGGGCCTAATCCTTGCCCTTTCCTCCCCCTTGTTGACGTGGCTCACGTGCCCTGCAGCAAGCAGGAGCTGAGGTCCAGCTGTCCCCCGTGCAGCTAAGCAGGCTGTGGGTGATCTTTCTGTCCTGCTGCGCAATGTATGGTCATATTGCCCAGTGACCTATCTTAGCAGCACTTAAAAAGAGCTCTCCAGAGTCAAGGTTTGTAAGAAGAAAAATGCATTAAGTTGAATCTAAATTAGTTACTTTGCTGCTGAATTACAGCTGATCAAGTGCCATTTATTTCTAGGTAACAGTGCAGATCTGCGGCTGGTAAAGACGTTTATAGAACTGGGACTCCCCGGTGGAAAACTGGACTTCCTAATGTCCGAAAGAAATCAGGTAGCACAGAGCTAATTTCTGTATTCTTTTAGGTCCCCTGCAAGTTGCTGACGTTCCTGAAACAGGGCCTTCAGCAAGTGACTAGCTGGAAGAGGCAAAAGCACTGGGGAGTTTAAGCAATTTTGTGCAGGATTTAGCACAAAGGACTGGCTCCTGAGTTGACAGGGTGTTTAAACCAACCACAAAAGATTCCTAGCATTGGAATCAAAGGCACTTTAACTGACATCAGCATTTACAGGATTCTACCTTAGAAGAAGTTAATTGATTTATCCTGCCAGTTTGCAAACTTAGCAGCTCGGTGTATCTGCCTGTTGGATGCCATGTAACACAACACTGAAAGAAAGCAGCATGTTTAGTGATGTTAAATTCTCCCAAGGATGTGAAATACCCAGCTGAAGGCAGCAGGTGTTGTCATCTTCTTTTGCCACATCAGCCACTGTTTCTTCTGCTGGCATGTTTACGAGATTTATTTCCTCGAATGATAAAGAAACATCTTCCAGAAAAATTCATTGCTAGTATAGGCAGAGTAACAGAAATGAATTTTGTGCTTTGCTTTGCAATGAACCCATATTTATGCCATAGAGGGCTACCTTTATATACAAGATAAGGATTTCCAATGCCCAGTCAAAAGCATTACTCTGATTTATGAACAAGCCTGAGAAATGCAAGTGAAAACTTCCCAGCCTTCTTTGCTCAACAGCGTTGTTGTTGTTGTTGTTGTTGTTGTTTTGCAATGGCCAATTGGTGTTAGTCTGTGAACTTGCCACCGTCCAGGGCACATTCCTTTCAGTAGGAGATCAGCGCAGAGAACCTGAGCATGATGATGTTAATGGGGAGACGACTTCCGTCTTGCATCAAAGGTTCTCCTGATGTTTTCCAAGGATTAAAGGATTAGTTCTTACAAAATCTCTATTTACTTCTATCCAGAGCCCATAATTAAAAGATTTAGTTCTCCTTCTGTAGCGTGGAAAAATGAGTAAGTTCCCATGGCACTGGAAATAGGACCCTGGTAGCTTGATGGTTTTTTGCATGCTTGAAAGCATTCTGTCAGCCTTTTTTCCCTGCTCTGGGAACCACACTGAAAATCATTTATGAAATTAGTTACTTAGCTGAAGTTCACCTTCTAGAGGACAACGCAACTAACTCTTTTCAGGCAGGCATTTGTGCGATATTTGACAAGCTCAAAGAGACTGAGGATGGAGGCATAACCAGGTGAAATATGATATTGGATGCATTTCGTTTGTGATTAACATTTGGGCTGGTATTTTTCCACCTTTAAACAACCTGAAAGATTTGGAATAATAAGCACAGGAGGAAATCATTAATTATCAATGCAGACAAAACAAAGAGGCAGGAGGTTAGTGGACTGTTTGTAGTATATGAGAACATTTATTTTAAGACAGGATTGCAAACTGAGTATGCTCATGTTTTCCTTTGCAAGAGCTGCAATTAGCGAGATGAGTTGTGTCACAAAAGCATTAATTACTAGATATGTTTGCTCTGAATAGCTGTTCCAATATTTGATGGTTGTTTTTGTGGCATCTCATTAGTTACAAATTTGATTTAGAGTTCTGTTGGATTGCCAAATGACACAGTTCTGAATAAGAAGATCTGCCTGCAGTTGTATAGGCTGGACAATATATTATTTGTTTTATTGTATCACAACTGGCGGCACTATTGCAAGCAACAAAGTGTTTAATCTTTTTCTGGCACCCATTCTCTTACTGAAAACTGTTGAATAGCGCACAACATTTCATTAAAACAGCCTAATAATTTTGTGATCACAGCCTTAGGGTTGACATAACCCGTGTGTCAGTGCATAATGCTGTAAACTATTTTTTCCTAGTAATCTGTTAAATCCTAAATGCCAAAAGCTTTTCTTCCACCTGCACAGCCTAGTGCCTAGAGAGGCTGAGCATTAGCAGTTCTCACTAGTGAAAAGTCAGGCCACTTTAATATCATAGTAATGACTCTGAAATCACTCAACCATATATTTTTAACCTTATTTTTAATAAATTAGTATAATATAGTATTAGTATATGTATTATATTAGAATAATATAATAAATGTAGTAAGCATGGACTCACCAAGGGGACATCACGCTTGACAAATCTGGT